TAAGTTCATCTCAAACCAGGCCAGCAGTGGATTGCCATTGCATGATGTTAACATCGATAACTTTTGCCAAACGGACTTCTTATGCCAGCAATACGACATGACAGAGAAGCCAGTATCTGCATTTGCAGGGAATGTGAGCTTAGGGAATCAAAGTGGAGCTCGACTGCACCAGCGCAGTGAAGAGAGACGCAGGGAATTCTCAAGATAGGCTATCCACTTGAAGTGAGTGACATAAAATTGTACATTGTGGATAACTTGATAGAGAACAACAGTGTTAATTAACCCTGTAATCTTGGATAGTGGTTTGGTATTTAGTTAATTTACTGAGAAGTGTAGAATCAATGAGTTCACATATGGGTTGCCTTAGATATTACATATCATCACCTTCTTCGGAGATGACTTCTTTTGTAGTATCTCTAATTGGGCCTGGTTCTGATAACCAGTCGTCTAATTGTCTGTAATTATTGGTGAGCTTACGAAAAATGAAGGAGAAGATGGATAGTGCCGGCGTTTAATGCTCAGGTGTTAATTTCATATTTGTTTTTATTACTGAGGAGTTAGTAGTCTTGATGGTACATGTTTAAAGATTAGCTGGGCTTTTAACTAAGTGTTCCGAACCAAGGTCGACAATGGAGTATACTAATTTCATATAATACTTTATATGATTTTATTTTTAACCTTATTTACAAAAAAGAAAAAGAATCAAGAAGCAGTATACTAATAAACAAAATAATCTATCTGCATAGGAAGAATTAAATTCTCTTTTTACGCAGAGAGAGGTGTTAATTATGCTTCATCTTCACAGTGTACATCACCATTAGTGTGATTCTAATAAATACACTCAAGATTCGCAAACCCTCTAGCCATCCTAAGCTTGCCACTCCCACCAACAACGGCAAACTCCCTTTCAATCTCTGTCACCGGATTCCGGGAAACCACGCTGATGGAGTTGCCACTGAACTCCCCGGCCGTGAACCCAAAATCGAGATAAGCCACCAGCATCAATTCCCTCTTCCCCGCTGAAACATACATACCTCTGCAGTTTCCGATCACCTTGGACGTCGCCTCCGGCCCCTCAGTCAGTGGATCGTCCACCACCCACACCGTGCCAAACGGCGTGCTCGCCGTATCTTTTTTCGGACTGGGTTACCTTGATGACACTGGGGTTTTCTCCGCCGGGAGTGTTGTGCAAGAAGCAGTGGAGAGTAGTCTCTTTGTCTTCGGCCATTAATGCCCGCCTGAGCTGCGGTTCTAGCAGTTTGAATATTAATGTTGGTAATGGTGTAGCAAGCGGCAGAAGGAGCTAGCGATTCTGACAATGCAGGCCACTGCCGACCAGAGCAGAAAACAGGTAGCGTGCTTCAGTTTCATCCCTGTGTGTGATTATTATCAACTAATAATAACCTTACTGCAGTCGTCTTCCTTAATCAGCAGAGCCTTTTATAGAGTTCCCACCAAAAAGGAAACAACGCGTTATTATTATTATCACCCTTTTTAATTAGTATTGTTTACCTTTCTTGCTTTGGCGAGAGATTATTTCCTTTTTTAATTATAAAACCACTACTAACTATTTTTGTACAATACGAACCCCAACCTCATCTGCGTCCGCCTGCCTGTCTCCTCTGCTTCTCTCGCAGGCTCCTTACGCAGCATTTCAGACTCTCATTTTCCGGAAACAGGGGAGATGCAGATTCAGTTGAAGTGTAGCTGTGGAGAAGACGAATGCCCAGAATGGGCAATCGTGGAATTGCAAGGGGAGGTTGAGATCCAATCTTCATTTCAAACTTGTCTCAAAAACCTCCATATTGGAGTCCTTTGCCGTCCTTCTTCACAGGTTCTTCTTCTCTTCCTTCAATTTTACCTTTTTCCTTTTCGATATAATCTTCTGTTTCTTTACCCTATTGACACTGCCGCTACGGATTTCTCTTACCGCACAGGAAACTTACACATTCACCATCGGATACCACGAACTGACGGGGTCAAAAGTGAAGATGAAGAAACCAGTCTTGGTGCTCAAGAAAATCAAACGTATGGATGTGGAAGGAACCGGGGATGGTAATTCTTCAGGAGTTGAATTGGAAGTTGTTGGAGTTATTCGGCATAAGATTTTGTTCAAGTCCAGACCAAAAGCCCTAATTTCCGGTATGCCCTATTTGGCTATTTCTAAGATTTCAGTTTTAAGCATATATTAAATGCTGCATGAAGATGGTTTTGGTTTTCGTGTGTTTGTTGAAGTTTCCAGGATCGCAGGCAGTAGCCAAGGATAGAATCAATGCTGTGCGAAGATGGTGTTAAAGGGATTGATTTCCTGTATTGTTTATCTGGGTTTATATTTTGCTGCTAAGTTGGGGTATCTGTAAAAAGAAAAGCTTCAATTCTGCCTCATAAATGGGATATGATAGGGTGGTAATCCAGACAAAAAGATTATGTTGCAATTAAACTTCAGAATTAAAAATGAACTGGAAATTGTTTAAAACAATGAAACCAAATCAGAACACTTGATACTTGGATGATATTTTTTACTCAATTCAATAATATAAGCATATTGATCACTGTGTGTACTGATTAAGAGGACTATTTAGGGTTTTAGTATCAAGCTTTCTCACTGGATGCCATAATTTATAGCAGAGTTTATTACCATTTGAGTTTGTTCTACTTATCCTGTGTTTTAACTCAATTTAGTTTTGTTCAAGGGGTGATTATTAGCTCAATTTTTGCTTTTCAAAAATACTTTTGCAGCTAAACTTTTTACATTAAATAATTTTGATTAAAAATATTTTTAGTGAAATTAGCTATTTAAGAGTGTTTTTTTAAAATTTAAAATACAAATAACAATCTTAATTCACACTTCCACTTCAACCGAGCCTCTTCTATGGAGAAATAGCTGAAAAATAATATAAAAAGAATTAAATTAGACTTCAAACGAAATTGTTCTCTATTATCCTCTAAATTTCTGTGAGCTGAGACATTTCAGACTCGTGCTCTCTTTCAACCTTTTTTTACAATCCTGAAAGCAAAATACCATCAAGTCACTTGCGGAAACCTGAGGTGTTTTCAATTGTACATCGCCAATTCACATAAACTGTAAGGTAAAAACTCTATTACCAGTCAAAGAGGAGAGAAGCTTAAAGGGGGTAGACAAAAATTGATTTGAATTTTAATCATATGAAAATATGAGGCAAAACCCTGGTTTATTTACAGAAGCTACAATCACAGGGCAAAACAACAGCAATTCAGTAGTGTTTCTTTAAGTGATGGGGCCTGTTACGCCTGCACGGACTCTCAACATTTCAGTTCTACTGCTTCTCTCCATCACCTCCACCAGCCACTCTACACTCTCTTTTATCCCCATCCTGCAATATGAAAAAATTGCATGCTTATATATGTACCTTTCCTCGTTTGCTACTCTTCAAGTGATATGAAGATTGACCTAAAAGGTAACTTCGAGCCAAATCAATATGTGTAAATCATCTACATACCCTTCGTGTGCTGAAACAGCTTCAAACACATAAATCCTTTCATCCAACTTCTTAAGGTCTAGATATCGGGCCAGTTCATCAGCTGATGCAGCTTCAGTGAGATCCTGTCATTAAATGAAAGTCAATTAAGTGAATATCATACTCAACAGGAGGGAGATGTGCTAATGTCATGAGCGACATTGAGAAACAGGGAGATTCAAGCCAACAATTGAATCCTCAAGTTGCACCATCAAAATTAATGAACACTCATAAAGCTAGAACTTTGGTAGTTCTTTCTACCCACAGAAAACAAAGATAGCATTTAGTACCACTTGATTTAGAGGACTGAATAAACACAAAAAAGTCCAGATCAATATTTGGTGCTTAATGATCATCAGAAAAGAAATTAATAATAATAATAAGAATAAGGAACAGCTTTGTTCCTATATTTTGGTGAACTAATTTGTTCCAACTTTGTTACAAAACTTAAAAAATTTTCATGTACTAACACACCCGTCCAACTTTCTAATTTTCCTAAATTACTATTTACCATCTACCCAAGAACTTAGCTTCTCTCTCTCTCTCTCTCTCTCTCTCCTTTTCTTTTTCCAAAATGTTCTTCAACATTCTAAGATTATCCCTCCTTGAAGTAGGTGGTTTCCTAAAATTATTCATAATCATTTTGGTTGAGTTATTTTTATTTTCTTAGAAGGATGGCTGGTAACATTCTAATTTTTTTCAAGGGTTACTTTATTATTTTTGTTAATGAGTTATTATTTATAGTAATGAATTTGATTTTTTCTTAACAAGGATGGTAACTTAGTCATGCTTTTTGACCAAGGTAGAAAACAGCCCCTATGGGAGGAGCTTATGGAAAAACTTCATGCAACTCAGTCACATTGTTGAGAATTGTTCTGATTGGGTTATTGGCAGAGGCAATAAAGTTCTGGAAAAAAGTGTGGTTTGAAAATACCAACTTTCAAACCCGTTTTTCCTGTATTTTTGCTATTGCAAGAGATAAACACATGCTGGTTGAGAGCGCCTTCGAAGGAAATCTATCTTTACCGGGAATGTGGTTATTACTCGCAATTTACAAGACTGGGAAGCAGAGGAATACATGGAATTAAATCAGATTCTTTGCACTATTCATTTGAGTAACAGAGATGATAGACTCAACTGAAAACTGAACAAAAAAGGTACTTTTTCTGTCACTTCTATACTTAAGCACCTGGAGAATTTCTCTGCTGAAAACCAAATTATATTCCCCCATAAAATGATCTGGAAGACGCATGCTCCACCCAGAATTTCCTTCTTTGCTTGGGAAGCAACCAAGGAACACATTTTGACTTTGGACAATCTAATGAAGAGGGGTTTCCACTTGGTTAATAGATGTTCATTATGCAAAGCCAGTCCAGAAACATGCAGATGCTCATTACTATGGTGTCCTATCACATACGGCCTTTGGAATGATATTTTCAGCCTCATGGGGATTCAATGGGTAATTGCTGGTTCTGTGAAAGCTGAACTCCTTGCTTGGGAGAGTATTGCTGCTAAAAACAAACATTACAGACTAATACCACTAACAATTTTCTGGGTTGTCTGGAAAGAAAGAGACAACAGAATTTTTGAGGGTCTTGAAGAGAATTTTGCCAACATCAAGGATAAATCGTTACACCTCTTTGGTTCCATTATCTTAGGGCACAACCTTAATTGTTTGGATGATTTTGGTGCTACTGTAAATATTCTTACTGATCTGTAAATTTCTCATTTTGTACATGGTAGCCCCCTTGGCGCCTACATCTATACACTCTACACTTTTCTTTCAAAAAAAAAAAAAACTTAGTCATGCTTTTATCTTCCATCCAAAATATAATCGTTTAAATATTTTGATTACACACAATAGCTAGGTTTAATATTTGAGTAGTT